AATTTTGGTGGAGAGATTAGCTTTTCATTAAATAATTTATTTTTAAGATTTCTCCAAGTCATTTTTTTTTCCTATCCTGCTTCACTAAAAATACATTTAGATCCTGTATCTTTAGGCTAAAAATTATTATTATCTTCCCCTGAAAAAACATCACCACTGGCAGGGTATCCCCCTGTGCCGTTATGCGGGAGTGGCGGCGTTTTGGGGCATGGGGCAGTGCACACATGTGGGTGGACTTCGAGAGTGAAATTCAAAAGACAAGATCACGCCAACAGATGGCGCCAATCAGTGATAAAAAAATAATTGTAACAGATTATATAATCAAAAAAAAAAAAGAAGCAACCTTGATACGAAACAAATACACACTCAAAAAACGCAAAAAGCAAAAAACCACTACAATTATTTGCACATTAAAAGTAATTTTGTTGTTGCAAAAATTAATTCGTTTTTAATGTGTGGTGTCTCTCTCTCTCTCTCTGTCTCTATCGCTCTCTTTCCCTTGAATGTTTGTCTCTACTCGATTTTCGCGGATTCTCGTACGGCCCCCAGGAAGTTGATAATAAAGTGAGCAAGACTCGATAAATGGCCATGCATACATATATGGTATTTACCATTCCGTATAGTACATATATCTATGGCCAAAGCACAATAAAACAAGTGATAATGCCTATTAAGTGTCGCCGGGTGTCTGTTCTTTAATCGATTGAGAGGCTTGAGGCTAACACCAGTCTGTCTTTGGGATGGTTTACAAAATATCTATCTTCATTCAGGGCTGCCTCCAAGGTCGTCAAGAGAGCTTTCAATGTGTCTATCCATCCCCCCCTAGCCCAATACATTATACAGTTTTATCTACATTCTACATTCTTCCTCTTTGTCGTTAAACAGGGGTATGATGATCCTCAACGACCTCATAAAGTCTAGAGTCTGATCTGCTCGTTTCCCCTTTTTGGTCCTATCTGAATAATCATGGGAAAGATCGTCTAATAAATTTCATTTGTTTTTCTTTTTCAAATTTCATAATTCAAATCTCATCAATGGGTATCAACAGCTGCGGTACCAAAAATCGTTTTTGTTTTTTTCATTTTATTCCGCACTGCAATCGATGCCGCTGCCTGCGTCAGCGTCAGCGTCTGCGCCAGCGTCAGCTTCAGCGTAGCAGTCAGATGTTTTTGCTTCTTATAGAAAATTTCAAGGTCATGCGCGCAGGCAAAAAAGTTTGTTGTTTTTCCTGTGGCTATACTTTTTTGTAGTTTTTGTTTTTTGCAAAATAAAAATGGATAGGCAGCAGAAGCAGGGTGGCACAGAGAGAGAGAGAGAGCGAGAAAGAGAGATGCAGTGGGATATGAGGCGACGGGTTAGCGACCCGCCCTATCAACACGTGGTCAAAGCTCACGCACACGCACACACACACACACTTTCGGAGAAGTTTGCTAAACGGGATACCCTATGACAAAATGGAAAGATATGTATGTACAGAGATCAAGCTTTATCCTCTCTGATGACTCTGTCAAATGTCAAACACTTGATCGGACCCAGCATACCCTAAGCTCTGCCCCGAGGGTATAATAATTAATTGCACACTCTTGTTCTCCTTTTGCGGGTGTGCTTTGCCTTCATCTTCTTTGTTTCGCGCATTGCCAACGTGAGCCAAGTCGCGTTGACAAAAGCAAAACCAAAAGCAAAAAGCCAAAAACAATTTCCATTTATCGTTTTGTTGTTGCCCTGCCCGTATTTATTGCACACAATTGAACACAAAAGCACAAAAGTCAGAAGAGCAAGAGGAAGAGGAAGATAACTGTGCACAGCAGAGTGCGGACAATGAGGAGAGCAGAGCAGAGCGGGAGCAGAGAGCGTTTAATAGTGCAGAGTGCATAACAGAGGAACAGTGGAACATCGGAACAGTGGAACAGAGCGGGGGCTGATCCATCAAGCGGCTATAAATAGTTGTTCATCTTTTTTTAAGAGGCATCCATGGATCCCTATCGGGACTACGGCTTTTGAACACCCCCTAAGCGCACTACTCGTCCAGCAACATATGGAGATCACATAATCTCCGCCAACAACAAACACTCCCATCAACAATTCAAAACAAGTGAGAAGTCGTACGACTATCATAATGTACATACAACTAAAGGCAATCTTTCTTAATCATACCCTATTGGATACCCTAGAAAACGAGAAATTCTAAAATTGATTCATGGGAAGGCAGCAACGCAAAAGTGCAGTCGCAGTCACTGCTGACGTTGGCGCTGCTGCTGATGCTGCTTTTGCTCTCTGCCGTTGCCGTTGCCGTTGCCACTGCCACTGATTGCCGTTGATTAAGTATTAGTTCATACTTGAGGGGTGACCTTGAATAAGTTTACTAACATTTCGCATTTTCGGGGCGGGTCGGTTTTCTTTCGCTGCTTTCTATATCTATGGCATGCACAGCCCCTCACCATTGCCCTCGCCCTCACACTACCCCTCCTCTACCTGTTTTTGGCAGCTGTCGCAAAAGGCTTTCAGAAAGAGAGAGAGAGAGAGAGAGACAGAGAGAGAACGAACGCTTTAGTGTATTTCTAGGTTATGGTCAAGGCAACGAATACGCAGATTTGAAGGCTAAAAAGTCAAAGAGAGTGTGTGTGAGTGTGAGAGAGAGGGGCACACTCACCCTGGCACACATACTAATTTGCAGAATTCTTTGAGTGATAACTGTTTCTGCTGCCCCTTTTGCTGCTTTCATTTGTTTACGCGTCATGCCACAGGTAAGCAAAACGCGAGAGTGAGAAACAGGGGAGCGCAGCAGCAGAGGCGGACGTAAGGTATATTAAATATAAGGTGCGAAGAGAAGCACTGGCAGGGTCCAGTAGGGACTAGTTTTGGTTTGCCCGAACACACACTTTTTTTCTCTCTCTCACTGCAATGCAGCTGAGGCAGGTTTTACTTTCCTGTTGCCACTCTACCAGACAGCCTCCCCTGCTATTGAATGTACCTTGGGTAGAACTAGAGGGAGAAGCAGCAGAAATGGTAGAATATTAGTAAGAGGGAGAGGAGGAGAACTGCGCAACTGCTGATTAGAACATTAGCTTGTGACAGATAAAAGTCTGTTGAACTTTTGGAAAAGTACATTCAATAAATTATTTTTTATTTTGATTTTGTTGTTTTGCAGTATTTTGTTTTTGAGCAGCAGCAGCGACGCGCCGCTAATTTTAGAGCTGCTTTCAAAACAAACAAACAAGTCTCTCTCCCACGCTCGCTCTCTCAAACTCGCTCTCTATCTCGCGGCAGCTCCAGTGCAAGGTGTATGTGATCAGGTGAGGTAATGATACTACTATGACAGGAGTGACATATGTATATTTAAAAATATTATTAAATATATCCGGTAGCTTGCAAATATTCAAGGACTTTCACTTCAATTTTGATGGATGCAACTCGACTCCCGCTCGGCGCTCTTTGAACGCCCCACCTTATGGAAAAACACTTTGTCTGGCCGCGGTCGCTCTTCCAGATTGCACATGTATGCGATAATAAGAGAGCGGCCACCACCGCTTACACGTAAGCTCCAGCGCTTAAGAATGGTCTACTAGAAGCTAGCCGAGGGGCGGGAGGGAGAGGTGAATGACAGACAGACGAAGAGCATAAGAGGGCGGTTGTGGTGGTGGCGGTGGTGGGAGAGGGAAGTAAATAAAGCGGCGTTTCTGCCGCCACTGACGTCAACAAATGGGGAGATGTGGCAAGCTTTTTGGAAAACTCTTCAGTTCACATAAATCCATGCAATTATCCATAATACCCAAAAACTTACCTGCTTTTGGAGCTCAAATTGTATATTGAGTACGCACACACATATGCACCTAGGGATACACCAACACACACATCTAATTATGCACTTTTCAGTAATTTACTCCTTTTAACTTAAACACCGCAAAAATAAAAACATTATTTTGTAAGGCTGATTAATTAACACATACTTATCGACTTGGGAATTTATTCTGATTTTTTGATTTTCGTCGAGATTTTTGGTTTTGGGAAAAGTAAAAAAAAAACAAGAAAATAATTGTTTTTGTTACTTCTGACGGGCTACTAAGCTTACTGTTAATTTGCCATTCAGCCTGGGATAAGCAGTGTGTACACAGCCCCAGTGGTGACTATAGTGATGCGCAATCGTTACGCGCCAAAGCTATTTTTAAAATTTAAAATCATTTGATTTCACTAAAATTTATATTAATCGTAGTAGCGCAATCGTTTAATTGATTAAATTTTAAATTTAAATAATTCCCAAGGATCTTTCTGAATATAATAGCACAAATAACGAATGGGCAAATGGACTACACTACGCGTCAATTGCTCCACATAACCAAGTGCAGTGCTACAATGTACAAACAGTATTATTTTTCGCGGTTTAACTCAAAATGTTCAAATAGGGGGGTTAAGTGGGCAAAATAGGTTTTTATCGGTATGTTTACTGTTTAATTCAAAAGTGAGACGGTATATTTTTGTAAATTTCTGAGGGTCGGACGGTATAGCCACACACTTTGCATATTTTAATACTTGTCATTGTAATTGAGTATTTTCTAGTATTTTTCAGTATTGTTTTTAGACGCTTTATTGAGTCACCTCTTGACCAAAGCACTAATGTAAAAATCGTGTAGAAATGCCATTAAGAGTCAGTATTTTTTTGACGGTCGGAAGGTATATGGTATCGATAAGTCCGATAAGACACCACGTCAATCTCATATAGCTGTGCAGCTAAAAGAATTTTGAGTATTTTCTAGTACTTTCAAAATCTTTTCCAGTATTTTTCCAACAATCGTCAGGTGTGTCTGGATAATTACGTAAATATGTAGTTAATATGTAGAAAATGTGTACTTATCGTGGAGTTACCATGTATTTACCGTATTTGTTAAAACCATGTTTTATAAGCAATCAAATAAAACAGAGAGTACTTAAAATTATCCTGTCTTGTAGAAAATTGATTTATCTATCGGAAAAAATAAGTTGTTCAGGGCTGAGAGCCCCATGTATCTAGTGATATTGAACCGAATGTCAAAATCGTGGGATACGATGATTCCATGATGATTCATGACAGCAAATAATTCTCATCGCTACTTAAACAAAACACAAAACAACCGCAGCCCGGCAAAATTTTACGAACATTTAATAAATTATTTCTGCAGTCTGCACTCAACTGCAGGGGCATAGCGGCGTTGACGGTGCGTTTGGGCGACGTCGAAATGGACTCGGACATGGAGGAGGTTGTCGGCAGCCCCGAGGCGGAGGCCAAAACCGGCATGACAGCAGAAGCAGCCGGCAAATCGCTGCTTAAACTGGAGAAAGCGAAGAAAGTTCAGAAAGAGTGTGCAAATGGTGAGACGCAAGCGAAACACAGGTCAGACACATGGCTAATGCATATTCTGATTCCCAAAGGTACAGGCTCGGGCTCGGGCTTGGGGTCGGGTTCGGGTTCGGGCTCAGGCCCACCCTCACCGGATCAGAGCTGGCGTGGCGTACCCATCGAGGATATACATCGGGGACTGCCTCTGTTTCAGCTGGAGCATATGGGACCCGTATCGCCCAGTTCCTTGCACCGCGTGATGCACAAGCATCCCATACGCGAGTCAATCGATGTGCCGCCGCGCCCGTTCAAGGGGGCCGGCAAGTGGGACTCGGACCATGTGCGTCTGCCCTGCGCACCGGAGAGCAAATATCCACGCGACAATGGCGACGGGACCACAACGATCGGTTCGCGCTGGGAGATGATCGAGCGGGCACTGCTGCAGCCGATTTCCAGCAGCAAACAGCTCCAGGATGCGATACTCTCCTACAACACAACGTACAAGGGCAAGTGGAACTTCCGCGCGCTGCACCAGCTGCTCGAGGAGGAGCTGGACGAAAGCGAGAAAAAGGTGTTCTTCGAGGACCTTCTGCCCCGCATCATTCGTCTGGCCCTACGTCTGCCCGATATCATTCAGGCCTCCCTACCCCTGCTCAAGCAGCATACGAACAGCATGATAACACTCACCCAACAACAGATCTCGTGCCTGCTGGCCAATGCCTTTCTCTGTACCTATCCGCGCCGCAACACGCTCAAGCTCAAATCGGAGTACAGCAGCTTCCCGGATATCAATTTCAATAGGTGAGCGGAGAGGACAGGCCTTACCCATCACCCAGTGCTTATCCCACGATTTGTCCCCCCTTCCCCCACACAGGCTCTACCAATCGTCGGGTTCTGCAGTAATGGAGAAGCTCAAGTGCATTATGCACTATTTCCGGCGCATCTGTCCCACAGAACGGGGTGACGGCAATGTGTCCACCGGATGTGTGACATTTTTTCGGCGCAGCGTCAAGCCGGATCGAACGACGATTTGGAATGAGGTAACGGAGTCGCTAGGCGACGTACCGCTACATGTGAATTCGGCCGGAACGATCGAGGACCAGGGCCTGGGCCTGCTGCAGGTGGACTTTGCCAACAAGTATCTGGGCGGCGGCGTGCTCGGTCACGGCTGTGTACAGGAGGAGATCCGCTTTGTGATTTGTCCGGAACTGATGGTGAGCAAACTCTTCACGGAGTCCCTCCGCCCCACCGAGGCGCTGATGGTACTCGGTGCGGAGCGGTATAGCAATTACACCGGCTATGCCGGCAGCTTCACTTGGTCCGGCAACCACGAGGATTTGACGCCGCGGGACAGTTCGCGACGCCGCCAGACGGCGATTGTGGCCATCGATGCGCTTCAGTTTGCCAATGCCACACATCAGTATCGCGAAGATTTGGTGGAGCGGGAGCTGAACAAGGCCCACACCGGCTTCATGCACGCGCTGTCTAGCGAGCCGCCGGGCGTGGCCACTGGCAATTGGGGCTGCGGTGCCTTTGGGGGCGATGCCCGTCTCAAGTCGCTGCTGCAGCTGATGGTCTGCGCCACATTACACCGTCCGTTGGCCTACTACACCTTCGGCAACATCCGGCTGCGCGACGAGCTGCATGAGATGTGGCAGCTGTTCCGCAGCCAGGGCACCACCGTGCGGCAGCTCTGGACCGTGCTGCGTCGCTTCGACTACAGTCTGCGCTCCAACCCATCGCAATCGAGCCAGCCGGCCGCCAAGCCGAATCTCTATGACCATATACGCGATGAACTGATGAAGAAGAAAACGCCGCCATCATCAACGTGCTCCACACCGCAGTCGATCAAGAAGCTGCCGGCCAGTAATGAACAGAGTCCAGACTTGTTTGCCTCGCAGGACGATTCGACAAGCTCTCCGGCCGTTCTCCTGCTCTCCGACGATGAAGAGGCCAATGCCATGATGATGGCCGCCAGCCTGGAGGCCACGCCCAGCGAGAGCAGTCAGGCAGGAGCAGCTGCATCAGCAGCAGGAGGAGACTCACCACCGAAGGTAGCTGCTCCTAACCTGCGACAGCTGTCGCTTCTGGATATGCTAGACGGCCACTACGATCAGGGCCAGGCCTCGAAGCGTCCGCGTCCCCCCCACAGCGGACCCACGGGCCAAGGGCCGGCCAAGAGTCGCAAGGAAAATGATGACGATGGGGAGGCCCCACCACGTTAAAGGGCCACGTTTGCTAGGGTAGGCGGTGGGGGATTTTGACTAAGTGATATTATTCTAAAAGGTTTTTAAACACATAAACACATCGAGAGAGAGAAAAAGAGAGAGAGAGAGAAAGGAACACGACTTCTTAAAAACCTATATTTGCAAACATGAAACTGGTGGACATTCTCGTTTCTGTTTCCAATAAAGCTATTTGCTTTTATAAGTTGAGAAACGTTTCTCGCCCTCATAGCATATACACAGATTATTCGTTCGGTTCTTGTAATTGAGCAAAGGCCTACTACACCACGCAACACGCTACTCGTACAGAAGAAGACCTTCTTCTGCTCCTCCTCCATTGTGGCTCGCCTTCAGTCTCAAAGACGATCGGCGCAAGCATAATGATTCATGAGTTGAAGAAAGTACAAGCTAGAACAGGTTCTTGCAGGTGCACCGAATCGTTGAAGACATCTCGTCGATCCGAAGATGCTCTCGCTGTGTGTGTGTCTCGTCGGGTTCATCATCGTAGCTCACTCACAACGCGGATATCTTTTCTTCTGTTATAGTAATTACATTTGCATTTAGTAGATATTTTTCGTAAAGAAAACTTTACGGAAAGGCCATCTCCACCTATCTAATTATACTTTCATGCTCCCTCTCCCTCTCTCTTTCTCTCTCTCTCTCTCTACCCAAAATATATAGTTTAGAAAATAGTCAACAACTATACTGATATACGGCACATACATACATACCATATGTACTCGTAGAATGTATAGAAATCTAGATGAACTTAGTACAAGTGTTTTTTTTTGTTTTTTTTGTGAACCCCAAGAACTTTGACGATCCATAAACTTTATTCATTGAGCCCCACACTGATGCACACACACACCCAAACGACAATGACACCAACACCAACACCAACACCAACAACAAGAACAACAGCTAAAACAAAATGCATATATAGTATATAACCACATGTATCTGTAGAAAAAATCAAAGAACAAAGGGAAATCAATAATGATTGCGTCGCTTGTTGGAAGGACAGTATTCGGCATATTCCTCCCAGGTACAGCCAGCCTTGGTGCAGCACTCGTTGGTGATCGATGGAGCGTTGGAGCGACGAGTCCTCAGGAACATGTTGGCGTAGTTCACGTGCAGCCAAGTTGACGGGGGCGTACCAGCTGAAAGGATTTTGCAGATGCACATATACATGACAGGTGCAGGAGGATCATCATCTGAAGACTCACGTTTCGAGGAGGAGGAGCTCTGCTTGATCCAGGCCTCGTCGTTGCCCGTCCGCTTGCGGTTGCGTCGCGTCAGGCGGTAAATGTCCTTCTCGCAGGCCCAGTATAACTGGCGGATGAGCTTGTCCCGGCACCGGGAATGGGTCTCCTGATGCCACACATTCTCCCAGTCCGACTGTGAGCTGAAAATATACACACGATATATACATACATATTTGCATAAGCGATTTGCACTGTTCTCTCGGTTGCTATTACTCTTCGGATTTGTTGAATAAATTGAAAATTTCTTGTTAAATTTTTGGTTACTGTTGGCAGAAGCTAAATACAATCCAAAGATCATACAAATTTCATGGAACATTAAGCTAACCTAATCGTAGCGCGATTCGAATCAAAAAAAGTTTGAAATTTAAGTTTCAGAAATAATTCGATTGGAAGTCGTATATGACATCGAAAAACCTCCCTGTTATAGACTATTTTCTTTGTTCCACTAAAGATTCTTTCAGAATTTACAACAATTAGAACTCCTCCTAAATTTAATTGGTATGGTTATAGAAACCAAATATATTTGGATTGGAAATATTCAGCCTCAAATGTTAATAATTTCCTATTAGATGTTGATTACAAAACTTGTGCAGCTGTAGGACCACTTTGGACACCCCCTATCAGAAAAAAACCCACATAACTCTCGTAACTCGCAGTCGATTTGAGACCAAGAAGTTTTTAATGGTTTGAAAGGGTTCAATAAACCAATTTTTCCAAATTTGGTCTCAAATTTAAGCATTTACCTATCAAATCTTTACTTTTAATAGAATATATCTTCATCTCGTTGTATATTTATAAGAAAAACACCAACAAAATCAATTTTATAGCATTATCTGCATTTTGGACTCCCCCTATAAGAAAAAAAATTCACTTAACTCCTCAAAATGGAAACCGATTCGCCACCACTATGTTTTAAACTTCCTATTAATTTGTGATTTGGAAAATACGAAAAACACTAACCACAGTACCACTTCATTCTGGACTATCCCCATTAGAAAGAAACCCATGTAAGGCCCAAGAAGCTCAATCGATTTAACATCAAGAGGCTATCAGTGAATAAAAACCATTCAATGTTCACTCACCGTTCACGAAAGAGCAACTCGAGTCCCTCCTCGGTGTGATGCAGTGCATCGGAGGTCTGGAATAACTGCAGAATGAACAGCAGAACGGCTCCGCAGAGGGTCCAGCTCCTGGGACCGACACCAGTAGTCGATGGTTGGCCCATGATGATGGGGAAAATGATGGTGCAGCTCCTGCTGCTGCAAGATCCTTGGATGTCCCTGGTGTGTGCGGCTCACACAATGGCCGCGTGGCGACTGAACAGTTGGGCCGGTGTGCGGTCCGGTTTTGAAATATAACCGGAGACGGTCGCGGTCGCGGCAGCGCGTACACGGTCAAGGCGGCGGCCAACTGTCGGGCGTCTGCATAATTAAATGGGCTGACACCGCGGATGCTATCCGAGCTTATTTGAAGTAATGAGCACGTAGAGGGCTGCCACACCACACAGGTCTCCTATGTATGGGAGGGATAATGAAGAGCAACGGCAGCAATTGCCTGTGGCCTGGGCCGCTTATTGCCTTGTTTATTTGTGGTCCGGTACGGACCGGACCGGCCCGTCGCCATCCCCTGTGCCCCTGGCCTGCTCCTGTTACCTGTTGCCGCTTCTCCCGACGTTCCTGCACCGGACACTGACACCGACACCGACACTGCTGATGCTGCTGGGGTTAACAAAACAACATAAAATCGAACAACTTACGCTTGTTCCTCTTTTTGTTTGCCTCGTAAAAATCGGTGTTGCCACTCGCCCAGAGTGTTCTCAGTGTGTTCTCATTTCGAAGATCGCATAAATTGTCCAATATTTGCACGAATTTCAATAACCAGCCACCCACACACGCTTCAGGAACAGTGGGCGCAGTGGAACAATTTACTCTTCATTTACCCAATTCTATATGCCTGTCATCGCTTTCCTTTGGCCATCGTATTGCAGTATTTTCATTCCCTGCGAGCCTTGAATCTGGCGACAACCACTGTTCTTAGAGGCGTTGCGCCCACACACAGACAGACAGAGAGCGACAAATACTTAGCTAAATAATGTCACTGTTTACACATGTTGTCCCAATTTATGCAGCACTAGACCTGCCTGCTGGCTGCTGGCTGCTCCTTCTACCCACATATACAGCCATTTGTACCTTTCACACCTTCATTTACTCGGCGGCTCAGTTCTTGCTTGACTTTGCCAGTGGCTGGTTGGTGGCGACATTTGGAGCAGACTCTTCTTTTTGGAATCTTTTGTTTTTGTGTGTGTTTTGAAGGCTGGAAGAATCTAGAAGGTTTGCCTAGGCCTGGATATTCTGGTTTTGATTTCTAAAGCGCTTTCTAACGATCCATGGCCGTTCCATATAGAATATACAATTAAACATACTAATTATCAATGATATCTAACGGGCTAGCCAGTGATATAGAGTCTGTGATGTTACTTTGCCCAGCCGGACCCAAAGTCAGAGCGCGAGGAACGGTAGCAGGCCAAGCTGCAGGACTGATAGGGGTATTAATAATAGTCAAAACATATCCCCATCTGCTGAAGTAGCAGCCGTTGGGCTCCAAGTACGGAGAGGAGCACGAAACCCTGGCCGGAGCAGCCCCTCCATTTGGTTCTTGCCCGTGCCTAGGCACAAGGGTCCTTGTCCGTCGGATTCGGCTCGTCATCGTTGGGGTCTGCTTTGTAGTTCTTACGTGGCAGACTGCGTAACTCACGCCTCACCAAAGTTGTGGGGTCTGCCAGAGGGGCAGCGAGCTCTGTGGTCACATCCGCATCGATACCTTCTTCCTGGGCGGACTCCTTGCGTCCTCGTAGTGCTCGGACATCCCTCGTCTTGGTTGTCAGCTTGCGCCCAAATGCTTTGCTATGCTATGCTTTTCTTTGCATGTTTTCGCTTTCATTTATTGCATCATCTGTTCACTCTGTTTTGCCACAATTCTATCGCTGGCGCCTTGGCCACCTTCTGCCAGTGCTGCCCATGGGCTTCGCTTTTTGTGATTCGCTTCTGTTTTATTACCGAGTTACCGAGTTCTACCTTGGGTATCTATGTTCTTCTTACCCATCAACGAAGCCAACCTCCTCCTAAAACCACAAATACTCTTTTCAGGATACACTGAACTTGTATTAAATGTTAATATTAGGAGAATGGTACATTAGGAGAATGTACATTGATGGGCTTTATTTGGGATGCTTATATTCTGATCAAGAAATGGAAAACCAATAAAGAACCTCCATTTTCCATTTTGATTCCATTTTTCTTTGCAGATTTTCCAATTAAATGCTGCGCGTGCTTTCATAGAATAAACGAAGATATTTAAATGAAAACTCCGAGCACTCAGTGCTCGGTGCAAGAAGATAAAGAGGGGGGAGCTGGCCATCATTGAAAGTGTCAAGAGACAGAGTGACTGAACAATTGACAAACTTTTGTCTCCTGTCCCTTGTCTCTCCATTGTCCCCAGCTCCTAGTCCCTTGGTCGTGGGGTCTCTCCGCACAATTCACTCAATAAAATTCATGACTTGACAGGGAGGGGGGAAGAGATAGTGGCTGGAGTGGGAAAGAGTGAACGATGAAGAGAGGTATAAAATATTTTGCAACTTGCATCTTTGCCCTTCCATGCCACAAAACTTCAATGAAAATTGGAACGAAAGCTATGAAAAAAATATGTGACCAGAGGACATGAAATTTATATGCATTTGCACCGCCACTCGTACTTTTATTTGCATGCCACCTCCGCCCACCCTCTTCGTGGGGGGCACTGACGTGACACTGCATTAAGGATAATGTTGATCATCAATTTTTTTGGAGCTGATGCCGGTAATGAGTCAGCGAGCCGAGCGACTGATGGCCTTATTGCATGCCTGCTGCTTGGGTGCGAAAAATTGAATTTTTTTAACGAAAAAATATGAATCTAACGAGTTCCGGATGGATGGGGCAGCGTAGGGTAATGTCGAGATGATGAGATTTTTTCATATGCCGCAAAAGCGCATTTTGCATACATTTGTATTTTTCGAGTGGTTTTCTTGTGTTAAGATGACATTTAATTGAAAAGTGTTTTGATCTTTTACGTTTTTCTGTACCTGTCCCACACGACGAGTATCCGTTTAACAACGAAAAGGAGGCCGTTTGTTTCGAATCGTTGTGTTACTTATTGTTATTCCTATTCTCATTCATTTCATTGTACTAACTGCTTACAACAACATCGAAATTTACGGAGATTCAAGTCGAATTTTGTAGATCAATTTATTTTCTTGTGATTTTTTATTGACGATGGGGGCCATCGCCAACCATACTTTGAGTTTGGTTAGCAATAGCGCCCACTTAAACTTTATTCAGGACTTTCGCGAAGCCTTTGGCAATGATGGCATGTATGCATTCGAATTGATAAACAAGGCCGCCGACGCCTGGCAGGGGCTAACTCCCGCGGAGAAGCTGCAGTTCGAGAGGGTACAGTATATTCGAGCAGTGAATTTTGTTGGCTTATCGCGTGTCCTCCCCTTAGGAGCAGTACCTGGCGGCTCGTACCGCTGACCTGGAGCGTGTGAAGCGCGGGGAGTCTGCGGGTCTGCTGTGGGCCCAGCAGAAGAAAGCCTTCCGCAAGCTGGCAAAGCGCGGACAGGCCAAGTACAAGGCCGAGTTCAAGGTGGAAGGCATGCAATGGGGACGCTTCGAGGAAAACGAGCCCCAGCTCAAGCGGGACGACGCCCCATCGCTCAAAAATAGATCCTGTTTTTTCAGCGTGTTGGGCATTATCCTGGACAAGTGCCGTCCCAAGCGTCATGACGCGAAATAAAATAATTTTAATAAAATAATGGATAAAAAACCTTTTTGGTGAACAAGTTGAAACAGGTCTTCTTCATGTAGCTTCTGGAAACTTTGGTTCATAGAAGCGAACGGCCAAAGATCCAGCTAGAACCAACAAAAAGTCATCAAAATTCATTAAAACGGAAAACTTTCCGACCCCCAAAGACCCTCAAAGAGTACAGATACTGGATCAGGATGCCCCAAGCCGATCCGAGACGAGTAGTGTACACAGATCCATCAATTTTATTTAACACAATGAACAAATTTTATTGTACATATACATTCATATACGAATACAATATCTTTTGCTGATCTTCTTTTTCTTATATTAGCTAATTATTTTTATTTTTATTTTTGTTTGCAGAACGTAAGAAAATAATAAAGACATTGTCTGTATTATTTTTTTCTCTAGTTTTACATGTACACATTTGTTTGTTTGTGTGGCTAGGCGGCTAGTAAATACCCTACAGTCAAGCGGGCACATACGCACATACATATATAAATAAATGACAAAAAAAAAAGAAAAAAAAAAACAAAAAAGAATAACACTCCTTGGAATTACTTGCTTAAGATCTAGTATATTTTAATTCATTTTCATTGAGTTAATTTTGGTTTTAAATTTATGTCAAAAATTTGGTTTGCTCCGTTTTTTTTGTTCTAAATTCAAATATTTTTCAATTCCACAACTGTGCTAGGAATGCAGTAGGACATATATATACACATACATATACATATATGCAAGTATGTATACAGTATATGCATTTAACAGACACACATGCATACATGCTATATATGGTAGATATCTCTATGAATAAATACACGAGTTGCTGTTCATCGAATTTCCCATAAATAAGTGTGCTTATGTTACATTTTTTAATTCGGCAAGGCCGAAGCAACGCAAAATAAATTAAGAATTTAACAAAAAAATTATATTCACTTTTCCCTCTGCATCGATTTAGTTTATTTAATAGTCAAATACATACACACATACCCGCATGTACATACATACATATGTATAAATATTGTTGTATACAATTAATAATCTATAATTTACATGATTAACTAATGGCGTAACAAAAACATGGCCAAACATGTCATGGCCTCATGAGATATTTTTTTCCAGCTTTTTGGGGGCAAGGTATCGACTGGATGGGTACTCTTTGGGTACTCGAAATATCTGTGAGACGTACCTCAATGAGTTCTTTATTAATGCAACACCAATTGGTGTCTTTTTAGGTCTTTAAGCACAACATATCCATGAACTTAAGCCTCATATGCCCTGTTCTCCACTCAATTGGCGAGTGAAATTCGCATTAAACGTTTCATTATGAAATTGAATGGTAATCCCCGGTGGAGATACCACGGATGAACGATTTAATTAGCATAAAGAGATTTGATGAAAGGATTATACACACATTCATTTATGCGTTTCATATGCAATTGAGCTTTGAGAGTATTAGAAATTCAATTAGGACTTGTACGAGTATCTACTCGTTTAATGCTTTAATCAAACAATTCATGCACGTATGCAGGTATTATCTAAGTATCCATATAGGTTTCATCTTAATTACGAGTAATTTCAGTAATTTTTGTGCTACTTTATAAATGTAATATGTTGTAATTGTATACCAAACATAATCCAAAAACAATTAGGTGTCAAAAGTGTTGGGTTTAATATAAATTTCAACTGCCATTCGAGTAAATCTGTATCCATCTCGGGTCCTCCTCTGGTCATAACATTTCGTGTATGTTGTAATGTTGTGAGTGGAGTTTTGTTAATTATAAATTTCCGCTATTAAACGCTTAATGGCTAAACGACACTCATACAAAACCAACGATTTACATTTGGTTACAGGAATTTTCCATTAACATGGCCCTGCACTTACATTTATTTGGTTTTGTCATCTCCTCTTTGACCCCCCCCATTAATCATCGAGCATCAATTTTTCTGCAAATTGAAACTCTCTTCATTTTTGTGTAAATTTCATTTCATACAATTGAATTGTAAGTTTCTTGCTATCAAATATTTTCTTTTCTTTGCTTATTTCTCTAAAAGTTGAAAAAAATTTTACACAGCATCTTAATTAATGATACAATTAATATTATCAATTTTTGAAAAACACACAACTTAGCAACCAATTGGAACTGATCAAACCTTAAGAACATATTCACAGAACTCATGTTGAAAAATCTGCCAAATTAATCACTATTTAAGACTGTGAGTAAGTAAATAAAAAGGACAATTATATTCTCCTCTTGGACATAAATCGGTTAATATACATACACACATACATATGTATATTTATAGTTAACTATAGTGCGCCGTGTTCTCAGAAAAAAAATTGTATTTCTTATTAATTTGTATTTTTGTTAAGTTTAAATTCAAATTTCCATTTCCTCGGTTGACCCATCCATCTCTCCTCATCGACCATCAATGCATTTCATTCTTCAGAGCTGCAAAAAGGAGTAGAGCAAAATCAACTGAATTGAAATATTTTTGAAAGCCACTTAGTTGCAATTACTCGAATTTCTCTTAATTCCTTAACTATGTAAATATATTACGAATTTGCCCAAAGGCTCTTCAACTTTAATACCATTATTCATTGATTTACTGTTGCAGAAACTGTGACAAAAACAATTATGCAACTAAAATACAACAGTTTATGGTACGAGTATATGAAAAAAGTTTTACGTCCGGCTTTTATACAAATTAAAATTGACTATTGTAGGATTTGCTCTAGGGCACAAATGTTTTTATTTGTCCAACAGAATTCAGTTAACTTTTTTAAAACACTTACCCGCTTAGAGCATTTCAATATTGGACGTTCCGTTGCCGGTTGCAGTGCGCGTGGTCTTGGTCACCTGCGGATTGGTCAAAAGCGGCGGTGGGCTACAGCACCAGACCACCTTGAAGAGGAGCAAAGGAAAAATACATGTTTATGTGGCCATAATCAATCAGTAAGAATCAATAGTCATGCTCTCACCTTGCGGAATGCCTTGCGGAAGTTGTCGGAGAGAAAGGCATAGAGTATCGGATTGATGCAGGAGTTGGTATAGGCCACCACATGCGATATGATCTGGATGATTACCGACAAGTGACTGCCGCCGTACAGATTGAGTGCCTTCAAAACCAGTATGACCTTTTGTTTTTTAAAGACATGCACAAAAGGAAGTAATCAGTATTTAGTCACAGGCCATATGCTGTCACGGCATTGATAAATGCAATTTGTGTCTCTCGGATTGTGTGTGTGTGTATGTAATTTGTAATTTCATTTGTAATTTGTGAGCACATTGATTTTGTGCAAACACTTTGAATGCTTTGAATGTCTGTTAATGGTTGCCAGCAGCCAGCAGCCATCAGCCAACAACAGCTGCCGCCAGCTCTGCCCCTGGCTTATTAAACATTTCAGCAAATAAATTGTTCTCGAGGATGCTGGGATGGGCAGGGGCTGAATCACAAATGTCAATTTATCGCAACTATCCGAGTATCTTGGTTACTGTTTGCCAGCAGCTGTTGCTGCTCAAAATTTTAAGTGCTTCGCATCTAATAAAGAGCTTAAAGTGCTTAAATTCGACAAGATTCTATATTTCTCTTATTTGTGTTACAAAGGTACGTTTCATGGGAGCATGAGGGCGGATATACTCGTACTAGCCCCCTTCCATACCGCCTATTTAATCAGTGGTTAGCAGATCTGCCCACGGGGAATCGTATCCGCTGAACATGTACATGCATTTGCTAGTACATCCTTCAATTATCAGTTCAAGGCCACTCGTCAATCGAATTCGAACACAGCCTACCGAACAAAATTGACATTAATCAGTTTGTTCATAATTTTCGCTCCCTACTGTTTTGCTGGAAAATTGCGATGATTGTGCGTGGGTGTTTTCGTTGCATACGAATATGCGGTATTCGTGGAAAGATGGTATGTTGTTTACATGAAAGACTATGTACAAGGCAGTGGCATCTATATTTTGAAAGTATTTGTCTTCTTCGGTGAGAACCGATCTACAATATGTATCGGAATAAAGCTATAAGGTGTGCAAATGTGTGAGTGTGCATCTGAATGGGTGTTTGAGTACTTACATGGATGGGCAGCCAGCAAATGGCGAATGCCAATACGACAACAACTACCATTCGTGTGACGCGTCGCTTGCCCTTGCTGCAAGTGGACAAGAGGCAGTAGAGTTAATCGATAGAAGGGTGAAGATACACAGATATTGGTTATAAATTATGGCATTTGAATTTCACATTGCATGCTGCTCTATGATTTATGAATTTTCCGTTTTGTAGCTTCCATTTTGGCTCAGCAAAATCTCTTTATTTGATATGACTACTGCAATTTTCTCTTGAATTTGAATAAGCTTTTTCTTCACACTGTACGTGACTTCTTGCTGGTCTCTCTGTTAAATAATTAAGTTATTGTTTTATGCTGGAACTTTTCTGTTTGGCCGTCACTTAACATTATTTCATTTATGATAAAAACAAACTTTGTAAAGTATTTGCCAAGTTGCGGCCATGGTCTTGTCCAGTTCGTGTCCAACTGAAGTTTTCAGCTTGAACTACTAGTTGGGGAATTGAATAAAGTTTTGCTGGAAATTGATCACGTTGCATGCATTTGTGGCAATGTTTAATTTCTCCACAAAGTCTGCATCAGTATTCATTCTTTAAATTTAAAGTTATAATTCGAAAATACCTATTGTCGAATGATAACCTTTCCATTTGCTTGTAGAACTAACTATTTGAGTCATTGTTTTGCGTGGCTTTATTTTATCCGGAATTTTGGTGACCCCGATGGTGTCCCTTTTGGTCTGTGATCACTGAGCAAACATCTTTAATATTTAGAATTCATTTGACAACAATTTTCCCAAAATAAACATCAAATATTTTCACAGAAGAATTGGTGACCCCGATGGTGTCCTTTTTGGTCTGTGATCACTGAGCAAAGATTTTTAATATTTAGAATTCATTTGACAACAACGAATATACCTATTGTCGAATGATAATCTTTCCATTTGCTTGTAGAACTAACTATTTGAGTCATTGTTTTGCGTGGCTTTAATTTATTCGGAATTTTGGTGACACCATCGGGGTGGTGTCCCTTTTGGTCTGTGATCACTGAGCAAACATCTTTAATATTTAGAATTCATTTGACAACAATTTTCCCAAAATAAACATCAAATATTTTCACAGAAGAATTGGTGACCCCGATGGTATCCTTTTTGGTCTGTGATCACTGAGCAAACATTTGTAATATTTAGAATTCATTTGACAACAACGAAAATACCTATTGTCGAATTATAACCTTTCCATTTGTTTGTAAAACTAACTATTTGAGTCATTGTTTTGCGTGGCTTTAATTTATTCGAAATTTTGGTGACCCCGATGGTGTCCTTTTTGGTCTGTGATCACTGAGCAAACATTTTTAATATTAAGAAATCATTTGACATCAACGAATATACCTATTGTCGAATGATAACCTTTCCATTTGCATGTAGAACTAACTATTTGAGTCATTGTTTTGCGTGGCTTTAATTTATTCGGAATTTTGGTGACCCCTTTTGGTCAGTGATCACTGAGCAAACATCTTTAATATTTAGAATTCATTTGACAACAATTTTCCCAAAATAAACATCAAATATTTTCACAGAAGCACCACGGCCTTGCCCTCAGCCTCAATGCTTTTCCTTTTGCGTTTTTCTATTGTACTTATATTTATTACATGGAGTTGGGCACTCATTCCTCCATTTGGGCGCTGTCTTCTCTGGGGAAGTATCGCTCATGCGGAGCCGGCTTACGTTCCGTTGACCCCGCAGTGCAGGGCGCTTAAAAATGTATGAGGCAAAAGCTCACGAGAGCCCCCACCTCCCAGCCTAATAGAAAGGCATTCATCACGGTCCGCAGCCGTGGTCGCAGGTGCCCCTCCGTCTTGTCTGATGATGTCCGTGTAGATGGTATTTCTGTTTGTGGTTTTCTTTGCGGGGGCAGAGTGTACTCACCGTGACTCGGCGGATGGCTTGCAGCCTGGAGCACTCTTCCACAGACGCGCCAACATTCCCATGTAGAGGAAGCAAATCAGCGTCAAGGGTGCCACATACGATGATAAGAAGAAGGAGACCTGCAACGACAGCGGAGTAGTAAATAGTTGGCTGGCTGTGTGGGAAAAGGCAAAGTCATACTGGTCTTCCTGGAACTCGACACAGATTTGGCATTAGTTTTAATTGCATTGTGGCACACAGCCGAAATGCGGTCAACAATGGTCAAAGTTTTCTGGCTGGCCACTGAACACAATTAGGGCTGCTCCTGGGCATAAATGTTGGCCACATTTTCATGGCCAGCAGATGGACCAAGGGATGGAATAGGATGGGTTGGGTTGGGGTAAATTCTTGTGTTCAAGTGGTTCAAGAGATTTGTGGTAGGAGTCGAGCTAGCGCTGACTTTGGCAATTGGTTGACGGCTGGTCCTTAAGGATGAATGTGCCGGCAATTGATTTTCATTTAAATTGTATTTATTACTAATTTGGACGCCGTTGGATATCCGTTTAATGGTCGATTAGGTATGAGATTCATGGCAGATTATGGCCCGCATTTGATTGACTTAAATGTTTGAAGGGATAGTAACTAGTTTTTATCATAGTCTATTGATATTGCCCTGGCACTAGAGTATGTTGTTTGATAACTTTTTTGGACCTCCCACGACCCATAAATATATGTATATTTGAACCAGTCCTGACGCTGCCTGTAGAAAATTCATTGAAAATATTCATATTCATCAAGCTATCGTGTTTATCATTTTGTTTGGTTTTTTGTTCCTTGAGAAATGTCCGTTTTGTGGGTTTTTGTTTGGCTGTTCATATACATATATTTTTTTTGGGTTTTTTGTTCGTGTCTGTTTTTGGTCGAAGGTTCTTGCCGACTACCATCTGCCGTCCTGTCAGCGGCTTTTGTTTTTGCATTGGGAATTGTCAAAAGCGCTGACCCGTAATGCTGCCCAGATACCAGAAATGAGTACCAGACACATTTCCACTCGCCCGGCCACTCCCTGCCCCTCCCTGCCAATCCCTGCCACCAGCTGGCAACGCTTAGCCGCCGTTGCAACAGACACAAACAAAAAAGAAGGAAGATACATGTCTGTATATTTGTATAGTGGGGCGTGAAAAACTGGCCAAAGAAAAAACAACAACAACAAAAAAAACTACGAGTTTGCTGGACTGTCAGTGAATGGATGTGTTGAAAGGACGAATCCAATAATGTTGAAGGAAATTTCAACGGATATCAATTCAGACAGCTAATGGCGCACACGAGTTGTCTGTGAATCAATGAATCGGGCAATGAATCGTTATGAATACCGCATAAAAGTATAATAACTCTGTTACGATCGGCAGTGAATCCTTAATGGATCTTTAACGATACGGTTGTTAATCAGCCATGAGTTGAATACTCGTACATTTGAGCAATAAATTGACTGTGAATCAGGTTTTGAAGTGGCCATAAATCAATAAATCAAATGAGTATGGGACATGAAACAGAGATAAAGGAACTATGTATCAGAAAATCTCTTAAGAAATGGGATAGCCCGGCTACCAGGGCCAAACTTTATCGAATTTTAAGCCTTACTTAACTTTTTCATGCCCCAAATAGTGGCCAAGAGCGTTGGTATTCAAAATTGGCCACGGCTCGGTTCAGTTCTGTGCAGCCGTGAACGATATCCAATCGGCAGCTGCAGGCATCGCGGCTTCTTTCGGATGAGCTACGCTGATCCGGGGGGCTTAACCGCGCGGCATTAAATTCATTTGGAGGCGCCTCAAGTTTTCAAGTGGTGGCTGGGCCGGGCCGATGGTTCGACTGCTTTCAGCCGAGTGTGAATGATTTAAGGGGCCAGCCAATGAATACAATAAAACACACTCTACCCCCGGAGAATATGCACAAAGGTGCAAGTCGAAAATAAAATATATATCCACGAAATGAAACCGAATTCGGTGCAGGAGCCGCGGCAGCAGCAGGAGGCGGTAGGTAATGAAACGGAAAACGAACAGCAGAACAGCAGAAACAGAAACAGCAGAAAGGAGTCTGAGTCGGAGATGGGGCTGGAGATGGGGCTGGGGCTGGGGCTGGGGCTGGGGCTGGGGCTGGGGCTGGGGGGGGAACAGATGAAATCGCGCATGCCGCAATTGTTAATAATCGCTGCCACGTTGCTACACTCCACACCATCACCTTGTGTGGATCCGAGTCCTTCTCGGGATACGGACGCATTCATTCATATTCAGAGAGGACGGCGGACGGAGCAGCAGAGGAGCAGAGGAAATGCCTGACAGCTATGGAATCGAAATCACTTTGTTGGCCATGGCCAATGAACATGTCGTTTGTTATCGACAACGGCAACAAGGCCATTCCGAGGACTGACATAATCCCCACTGACACATCTGGCTTGGAGCCCGGATCTGGATACCGGTCTGGGTTTAATGATGCCCCACGATTCTTACTGCTTCCGTCAGTCAGTTGTTGTTGTTGTTGCTGTTTTTTTGGGGACTGGTGTTACTGATGCATTAATTAAAGTGTAAATTGCAAAGGAAATTGTTTGTAATGCCAGTCAGGTCGGGACAATAATGTTAATGAGATCTGGCCGGGGGGGAGGCTTCGCATCTGTCGCTGACGCAGCCCCGCAAATGCTGCAATTTATGACACATTCATATCCTAGACAATGGGATTTATGCCTCCCCCCCCCCCCCTCCCTCCACATCCACCAACGCGTGATTAAACATTCTGTGTCCCTGCCGTTAGCTCTGTTATCCTGCGGCTTCATATTGTTCGCTGGTCGAGCGGCGATAAGTGTGGAAAGCTGATTGCTGTGACAGCTTATGTGCCACTGATTGGCCTTTGGGGCCTCTCAATTGTGGGGCGTTGTCATTGGATCTTCTGTTCGGCTGAATGATGCGAGACAAGGCCATGATCTTGTATCTCGCGGCAGAGGTTGGAGCCCAAAAGGACTCCCTGAATGTGGGACTGCTTAGACCAACCTGCCATCTTAACTCCATACTTTATCAATCTATTTCGTCTGCTCTTTAAACTTTTAAAGTGGATAACTTTGCACCCGAAACGATCTCAGTTGCGCTCAGTTAAATCGTCATTTGAAAACAAAACAAAAGAGAAAGTCATTGCCGGAGAAAATCATTAGGAAACACATTTCCAAATTGTTTTTCTTTTAAAAGAACTCCAGACACTTGGAGTGTCAATGGACCGAGACAAGGAAGATGGATATATCTGTTCACATCTGATGGATGTTGAGGAGTTGAGGAGCCCATAAACTTTGACAAGCTGTGCATAAAACTTCATTTCATGGCCGGCCACTTACGACATAGACAGAGATACAAAGATGAGCCTCTACAGATACGCAGATACCACTTGAAGCGATAGATACACGCTATGAAATTTTACAACACAATCGCAAAACGGGGGCCCGGCTATGGGGCCAGTAAATAAAAGTTACCAAACTTTGAAAAGAAACTTTTTGTTTTTGTCTGTCGGTGCGGCCTTTAAACTTTATGCGAGTCCCAATAAAAAGACATAAACTAAAGTGTGTGCCATATGATAAATGGTTATGGCCGGGGGCAGCTCTCATACTCATAACTTCCTTATATTTTAGCATAGCCCCAGAAATTGCGCCTGGGATTTCATCCATAAACGCTACTGCGGCGCCTCCGCAGGCACTCTGCGAAATTAATCAACTTGCCACGAGCTCCCCCTCCATGGGTGTGTGTGCGCTATGCCCAAATGAGACATTAAAAGAAAAGGGGGAAAAATGAAGGAGAAACCGACTAACAGACAGAGGCCGATCAAGCAGGCCCAGATCCCAGATCCCTTAGAGGGTCAGAGCTTTAGACTCCGTTTACGGTGTGACTATCGTGTGTGTGCAACTTTGATGACAATGTGATGGCGATGAGGTCCTGCCATTGCCGCAAGACAGAAAGGAGTCCAAGGAGCAACTATTCGCAACTAATGCTGGGCGAATGTGTGAAACAATCTAACAATGTAACCGAGAGCTGTAAAACCAAAGACAATAGACAAAGTGAGATGAGTAACGGCCATACTTTTCGTTGGTAGGGTGGCTCCAGGCTCTAGCCACAAGAAGGCGCTCAAAAGACGACCCAGATCGGCAGGTCTCTCGTGTGAGTATTGCGGCAACCAACTGATATTTGATATGGCCGTCGAAACATATCCATAACTTTAGTATTATGACACTTTTTGAAGCCCCTTTGCATATCATATAGCATACACGACTCTAATGAACGGATATTGTCTGCTGCTTAAATTCTTAAATTGTGTTGACTCTAGTAATTACTCGCAAGTTTTGAGTCAAAACTTGTCCCAGCCGTTTTGTAGATAGTTTATTCTACTTTCAATTTGATTGGGCACAAAATTTAAAAATAAAAATGTAAATCGTAACTTTTTCAAAAGATTTCGCTTCAATCAATTCAAGATTCAGAGATTGACACTTCAAAAGTTCGTCTTTGGCCAACTTTTGGGGGGGTCAAGCCCTCAATTTTGTTTTTTTCGGCAGAGTTGCAGAAAGATAAACACTTCTGTTGCCCCCGCCTTTTCCATGACCTATTCCCATTTCGTGTTCTCTGTTTTGCTGCCATTCATATTCGCCTTTCCCCTCCTCCAAAGTCCTATTTGTTCTATTTTTATAGGTCCTTTACGATGACAACAATTTGGTCGTTAGTTTCGTTGTTCGTTGTTTTCTTTTCCGCTTTTACTTTTCGTACTGTACGTATTCGTGACGTATGACGGATGTCTTGCACAAGTTTGATCCATTTTTATTTTATTGCCAGACAAGGTCTGAGCCAGCAACACGCACACATAAACAAACAAACCTCCACACACAGCCAGAAATATAGAGAGAGCGATTTCGCCTTGACCCTGACAATGAGAGGGGGAAAAATATCTAATTCGAAGCAAAGTCGGCGGTCATTTGCAGTTGCACTTTCCACTCTCTAATCGCCCCGATGAATTTCTCCACATAACATCCAAAGGTAGCTACCCATTGCGATCTATATGCACAGTCAGGGGGGGGGGGGGGGAATCCTTATCCGTAACTCTAACCGTACCCGGTATTCGTGACAGTGCCAGGAAAATGAGTCGGTGCAAACTGTGCAATTTGCTGTGCCAGGTAGATGTTTGGTGGGAGGGGAGCGGTGACATTAGGACGAGTGTCAACGGCCACCAAACAGGAGCTTGACGAGTGCATATTAGCTGAAGGAGGAGCGGAGTGAGGAGCGGCTGAGCTGCCAGTCGGTTGGGGAGTCAGTGAATCAGCCGCCTCGTGGCTCAGTCCGTCATCCAGTCAGTCGGTCTGTGAATGGGAATAGACGACAAAGCCCATTCATCGCCCTCACTCTGGGCTCTCGGTGCTGCTCCCCGACAACTGCGGCTTCCTGTGTAACATCCTTCCGGCATGAAATTGCTCTGACACGCTGACGCTGACACGCCAGCCAAGCCAGAAAAGCACAGGGGCGTACCCTTGAAGGGGCGAATTATGGAGGAGTTTTCAGGGGGAGCGGGACTGAGAGAGTGCTGAATTGATTAATAGACACAAGTTCGGGTAATAAACATAGCAAACTGAAATGAAACCCCCCGCCCAGCAACCAACAAAAAATATGACCAAATCAGCCAAACGGAAAAACCATTTCGGATAACGCTGATCTATGCGTGTGTGGGTCTGGCATAATGATGATGAAATCGTACTTGGACCCATCCCCCCAAAACGAATCCCCCAATAGCTGGGCCAAATAATTGCAAAATACGACTCTGAACTCCCTCTCTCTCCCTCTCTTGCTCCAGTGTGGCCATATCTAGTTGAGCATTCTGGGCCATTGTCTGGCCAGGGACCTACACACACACACACACACACATCACGGAGGGGACACCTGATTGAGGGGATGCCATATTTTTGCCAGAAATACTCCAACTAGAGTGCACTGTGAGCACAGATATGTGGAGGAAGAACGCCTTATCGGCTTTGCCAAATGAGGCAAATTCCTTCTGGTAATTTCTAAGCCAACCCCCGGCTCACTCGCTTTGCACGCGCAAATATGTATGAGTAAAATATTGGATAATAGCTCAACAAATGTTGATATTATAGAGAGATATGTTTTATCTTTTTGTGCGAAAGAGAGCTTCTTTTTTTCCTTGGGCACACTTTTCTACAGCTCCGACTCCACTGTACCGACGAACTGAAGGCATGTTCAGCCATGTGCCCTGGTTCTTTGGTTGTACTGATAGTATGTCACACGCCCTGACAAGCTGTCGCTCCTAGTGGAAAGTGGAAGGTGGTGTAGCTGTGAGTTAAGTAGCAAATATATTGCAGTCTTGCCGGGCAAGGACTGGAAAATATGACTTGATTTCAACAATAAGCGATCTCCTTCAATTTCACTCAAGCCTCTTCGCCGGGATGGGTATCCCTCTAGACACCACCCACGAAAAAGGGTTCCATTTCATTAGGATGGAAGTTCACTTACCTGGAAGCCAACCAGACTCCAAACCTCCTCCTCAGTGGAGAAGACGCAGGCAGTGCCGGCGTTGCCACGATACTGATAGATGCGCACCGAGTGCGATAGAGCGACGGGAATCGCTGTTGTCACAATCGTTATCCAGGCACACATGATGGCTCTAAAGAGGAACAGAACAGAACAGTATAGAACAAGGTAAGAGTTTAGGATAGGATATCAATAAATAAGAGAGAATGCGGCCAGTATATCACCTAGAATTCTAAAGAGAGTTCCTCTTAGAGATAGAGAAATACATTCCAAGTATTCAGTAGTTGAGAGATGATGGGCGAGGTATGCCTGAGGACTGCAAGAATGCACCTGTCAATAAGCATATTGCTTTAAGAGCATCAGGCTCCTTCCAGCAGATGGTGAAAGTTGAATGTTAAAGGTCTGAGCATTGTGCCTTTTAAAAATGGCAGGTGTATGTGACACAGTTGAACGATTCGAGTCCCTGCCTATGGGGCCATATTCATGTAACAATGAATGACAATGGGGCAAAGGCAGGCAGGTACTGCCGCAAAGGTTAGAGGCCAAGGCACATCAAGAATATGGACCAGGGAGTAGGCAACAGGGAGCAGGGAGCAGCGCTGGAATGTAGGCAAAGCAAGCTAATTACGGGGCCACAACAAATTGATGCAATTACTCTAGATGATATGGCTGGAGTACGCGGAGGTGGACCGTACAGAGGACGAGTACGAGATGGTGGAGGATGTGGAGAGCAGATAGATGGCGGATGGGAACTTACAGCGTGGCATTTCGCTCGGTGCGCAGCGACATGCTCGTCACTGGATGTACAACGGCCAGGAAGCGATCAAAGGACATCAGCACCAGCGTGTAAACACTGCAATGGTAACAACGAGTTAGACATAGTCAGGTATGGGGCTATAAGGGCTATAAGGGCTATAAGGGAGTACCATACCTGCAGTGGCACGTAACCACAATCATGTACTGGACAAACTTGCACCACATATTACCAAACGGCCACTCGGGCAGCACGTAGTCGGTGGCCGTGAACGGCACGCAGAAGATGACGAATAGGATGTCCGAGACGGCCAGGTTGATAATCAGCAGGTTGGTGGTCGAGCGCATCTGTTGGTTGGCAACCACAACTGAAAGAGGAGGCAGATCAGAGGTTACAGAGGCACATCAATGGTTCAGTTGTCTGATTAATTGGTTGCTGGGAATGTCCCGGCTAAAAGACAATGGCTCTGAAATGGCTATGCAATGGGCTGAAAACCCAAAGACTCAAATACTTAATAGTTACTTTAAATATAAAAAAAAATATTTCGAATCTGCTTTAAATTGAAATACACCCACCAGAAATTAACAATGTTCTCAAAAATCAGAAATTTGTACCCAAAATGATGGCTTAGAATGTGAAGAGTCACCCTGCCATGGCAACTGTCCATCGTTTATCCGTTCTTTTCACAATCTTTTGCCCTGCTTTGCCCTCGGAATTTTTCTTTTCGACCAATTACGCGGACAAAAGGCAGCAAACAGAGCCAAACCCTCCCTCCCTCCCTACTCCATGGGTATGCCGATGTGTGTGCGGTAGGGGGGTGAAAGCTGTGTAAGGATTGTGGGAGTCAGTGGGGAAAATAAGATCCTGGCATTGCCACTATTTTGTTGATGTTTTTTTTTAGTCGTTTTTTCGTTTTTCTTTTTTATAACCGGTACGCGGAGGGTACTAAAAGGGTGTATTATGTTCTTGGAAATGTATGAATTTTTTTTTTTTTTTCTGGAAGACTAAATATTAAAGATTTTTTGGACGGACTTGGATGAATTATTGTGCGTAAATCTATCTTTAAGATAGAAAGATATATTGTCTTTTTTTGTATACATAATATCTACCGATAGACGAAGATTTGTTTGCGATCGGCTAATCATCACAGTAATAACGAAGAGAGCCATGAGGGATCATATTTTCTGCATGTGCCAAAAATGTATCGGAATAGCCGGTATCTTCTAGTCGGAATATCGACCAAAGCGTTGATTCTTGTTAGTCGCTTGTTCTGCGACTTTCTCTTGCTATATTTCGCCCTCTCCATGCCTTTGCTCTCTCGTTTCATCTTTGTGTTTTCCTCTCGTGTACGTACATATGTATGTACGAGTATGTACGTACTTCTGCTTGGCCAAGGAGCCACTTGCAATTAGCTAGCAATTTATGTTTCTCCCTGGCTGGTACAAAAGAAGCGTGACAAAGGCGGCATCAGGAGACGGCCAAAAGAGAGCACTAGAGCTAGACGGGAAGACAGAAGACAGAAGACTGAACACAGAAGAGGGTCAACGGCGTTGAACCGTAACAAAATTTTTTGGCCCTCGCGCACAGCAGTGCAGTAAAAAGGCAGATGGCGATGAGAAGAGATGGCGCCGATGGATTGATGTGGGACACGCTGCCATCCAGCAGCACCAACAGCCCAAACGACAGGAGAGTAAAGTCAAAAGGGCAACAATCAACCGAGGGCCAAAAGGTCGAAGACAAGCTGGGGCTCTGGGAACAGGGAAACGGGAAATGTCGCGATGCGAACGCTTTTGACCGCAAATCAATTTCCTTTTCAGATATATATTTAGCGCAGGATGTGCCAAGGTATACAATAACCAAAAAACGAAAGAAAAGAAAAACCCCAGCAGGTAGGAAGAAAGGCGATGAAGCAATAGGGCCTTAGGAATAGCAAAGTGAATGGGAATCAATAGTAATGACAACAAAGGAAAAGCCAAGAACCAGGCCAGGAAAAGCAACCACACAAAAACAATAAATACACCGGCAGAAAAGAAAAACAGTACATATTTGGGTTACACAGGGCGTATGTGCGCGTAATTGTACGTATGTACTTGTATGTATATAAGGCGGGAGCAGATGTGTGCCAGGGTCCGCAAAGCCATCCTCTGAGGCCCCGTTCTAATGCTGATTTAGTCCTTCCCTCATTGTTTATTGCCCGGTGGGCCAGACTGTGTGTGCCTGCTTCCAAGTAGTTTTGGCACTTGACTTTGCCTCTAAAGATGCGTATTTGATGGCACACGAATTTGCATCTGTGCCATGGCCCTGAGATTAATAGAAGGAGAATCAAAGAGAGATATTTTTCAAGTATGAAAGCTATGAAAAGGTGGAACCCCACTTGAGGAAGTACAATATCCTACCTGAAACAGGGCTTGTGTGTCGATGTCTATTGTATTAGATAGCTGCACATAAGATGGCAATCCCTAGAGCTGCATTTGGGAATGAATCTCCAGCATACTTTACACCCTTTTCCAACACTTCCAATTTACATTTTTGTTATGGCCTTGACCATTAGCCAGCTTCTGGCTTGGGCATTATCAATTAACAGAAGGCGACACAAGTACAAGCACACAGCCACAGCCGCACCCACACCCACACCCACACCCACACCCACACACACACACGGATACACTGTGTAACCCTTGTGGCTAACCAATTTTTTGCGGCCGCGATGTTGACACACAACAGCAGCAGCAGTAGCAGCAGCAGCAGCAGTGCCAGAAGCAGCAGCAAAGTGGAGCAAAAAAGGTCTTTGCCGGCGTCCGGTTACGAGTCTGGGATCTATGTTTGGGGCATTAACTTTTTCCCCGCCATTAAAGGAAAAAATTCTGCCATTTTTTGCCGCTCGTTTTGGGGGGCTCAGGGGTTCGTTCTTCTCTTCTCTTCACCTCTCTTCTGTTCTGTTCTGTTCTTCTTGTCTGGCTGGCATTTTACAAAATAATAAAGTGTAGCATAATTTATGGGGCCACGCAAGAACCAAGGCTACAAAAGTTTTTCAAGCGCAAAAAACGCTTGTTATTTAATGCCAAGGGGAAGTGCAAAAAAAAGACGTATAAGAATGTATGTATGAGCCCTGGATACGAATAAGCAAATAATCAGGCAGCACTCAGGCAACGCGAGTGTGTGTGTCCTAGACAGGATTTCCTACTCACTCGCATCTGGGAATATAAATTCACTTTTGTTGAACTTTAATGTCAGTCTAATGCCTGCCCCGACTACCCATCGACGCGACGATTCGAGTATCGGGCTTGTTATTGATGCACTTCAAGTGTGTGCCGCAGGCCCCACCCTGGCAGCCCCGTCGTATACGCAATGTGTGCTTTGATTTAGTATGCAAATGTGTGAAAGTTTATACTGTTTTCCCCCACACAAATAGTACATGTATCTAACTTTACTTGAAGTTATAGAGAGTATGTACCTGTTGGCAAAAGTTCTAAATGGTTTTGGATTATCATTAAATGGAATTTTTTCCATCCAATCTACGGCTAATGGAAAGTTATTACGACACGAAGCCATAATTCATAATTCAATGTTTTCATTCGGATTAATAGTCATAAATTCTCAAATTATTATTGAACATTTCACAGCTAATTTTTGAGAACATTCCAGTTGGACGTTAGGTTGAATAGTTCTCCGCGTCAACAAGTGATTTTTTTTCTTAGTATACTTTCATTTTATTCATTATCTTTTCATTGGATTGTTGGATTGTTGACTATGGTGTTCTGCTGGTCGCTGGTGAGTTGTGGATTCAAATTTGGGATTCGGAAAGAGTACTCGTTGAAACGTGCGCACAAAAGTATGCTATGAAAACGGCATTTAAGCAGCATATGGCCACCATGTGAGTATTCGAGTGTGTGTGTGTGTGTGGGTGCGTGTGTGTGTTGGGCAAATTTACACACAAATCCACAAGGCGTACAAATTTATTATCCTGCGTTGATAGTGATAAAATTTACAACCAGCATTGAGTACATCGCCTAAAAGCAGGCAATACAAACAGAGAAGCACACCCAGACAGAGAAGGACTCCAAACAATACCCAAATGGGCCACACACACACACACACACATACACACACAGGCAATTGTGCGTGGGTCTCTGTCTCTTGTCCCCGCTCCCTGTACATTCGTCATATTTATGCTTTTTTATGGGCCATGTACATTTTTATTGTTTTACTTTTCAATGCAATGTCTGTCGGGGCCTGTCGCACAGACACCCACACAGACACACACTGGTGAGCACCCGCAGAATACATGTGTAGAACATACCAACCCACCTCGAGCCGGCTGAGAGGGCCCAGAATCTACGACTCGGAGGAAGAACAAAGGCTGTCAAACAGGTATAAAATGCCAGACAACATTCGAGCTCAAGCTCCATGTTATGCACTCCCCTGATGATGATATTCCCAAAAAGGATTTCAGCCAAGTTTCAAACGGAAAGGAACTTCTGGAAGCGCCACCGATTCATGACCAGCCCAGCATTCACTCTAGGGTATGCACCTCTGCCATCGAGAGTTGGCCCTTCCATTGCCGCAAGACAGCGCCCAGTGGACCTTGAACATAATGTGGAAATGCACAGCTCTACTACGAATAAAATTTCACCCAAAAGCAATGGAATTTCCAAAAAAATTCTATAGTTCGAAGCTTCAGATCTGCATTGAGCTTCAGGAACTATGGAATACGCGTACAAATATTAATATGAAAGTAACTCCATGGCAATCCCACTCTTTGATAAAATGATTTAGCGCTTTCACTGGGATTACCCATTTGGGAAAATCTTTTTATTTGCCGACTCTTTTGTGTGCGCTTCTCCTGCCCCTCCTTGTCTTCACCGTCTGCACACACTTGTGGCACACTCTTGTCAACACATCTGCGTCCATGATGGCCATATGGCATCGCTTGCCGCCTGCCTCCTGCCTTCATGGCCAGGTATCCATCCTCTTTCCCTCTTTCTCCTTCACGAGCTGAGGCACATGCTTGGTTTGGCCTTGGTTTCGGGGTCCCAACTGGCAAGTGGCCGTAGATTTTTTTTTGTTCGTCAGCTGCTCGATGCAAATCCCATCAATAATCCAACAATGCAATGGAGCTCACGACAAGAAGGCAACACATTTCCAGAGAAAGTTTCTTCTACTTTTTTTGTGGCTGAATCTGCCCTTCCAAGGAATTCTGCTCTTTCGCTAGGCGAATGCCTGTCTGATTGATTGATTCAAATTTGTTTCTCAATGATAATGATGTCTATGCTGAATACTGTATTATGACGTGGACGTTGATGTTGATGTTGACGGCAATGTTTGAATACTTTGGCTGTTGATTTTGATGTTGATCTTGTGGCAAAT